GTTGCATGTTACTTGTTGCTTGTTGCATGTTGCTTGTTGCATGTTGCTTGTTGCATGTTGCTTGTTGCATGTTGCTTGTTGCTTAATAAGCTTGAAATGTATTGTATTCATATGTAAATAGTGTCAGCACATAAGAGATTATACCGGTGCGCTGAAAGACGCAGTCAAAGTTTGGTAAAACTCCAAATTCTTAACCTTTTGCTAATCGCATTGACTTCACCCATTTTGCAATTCAAACTTGGTATAGAACATGCGACATGCATCACCATTCTTTTTTGAACTATTAGCTGTATACATATACAACAGTAGTGACATTCAACTGTGCCGGCATGCAGTAATGCGGATATTGCATCATGTGAAGTTAGGTCCATTAACTAGGAAGACTTGGTGTCATTCTGATTGATTGTTGTGGTTGTGTCAGATCAGCATGTATGACGCTTGGCTTTGCATGTTGTTCTCCATCTGTTTGCGGTTGTACACGCCTCTTAACATGACAAACACACGTCTTCAGATGCTTGCGAAATCGTTCATTTTGTAGACTGTAGATAACAGGGTTGACGGCAGAATTGATAGTTACCATAGCAACTGATATGATGTATGGAAGACCACCAAAAGAGGTGGTTGGGCTAAAGTAGCTCAGTAGATAGATTGTCAGTTGTGGGAACCAACATACGGCATAAATCATACTGACGATGATCACCATCTTGGTGACCTTTTTTCGTACTCTTTTGACGCCCTGTTGAGTTGTTCTTTCTCCTCTTTCATCTTTCTTAATCCACAGCGAGTAAACAACCCTTGAATATAGGACACCCATGATTAACACTGGAATCACACCCACTACTAGGAACCAACAGAGAGAATTGATCTTAGGGTATACAGTGTTTGGCCATACTTCCATGCAATAGTCAGCTCGAGCATCATAACGAATGGCGTAAAACAAGGGACAATTGAACAAAATCGAGAAAATCCAACATGAGGTGATAATGATGCGAAGAGTTTTTGTGGTTATGAATCCCTGTCGATATGGGGCAGTCACGGCATAGTATCTTTCAAAAGCGATCGAAACCAGGGCAAATACGCTAGCAACTCCACCAATCCAAGACAGGTTTCCTCCAGTAATAAACTTGCACAAATAGTCTCCAGTAGTGCCCTGTGGGTGTGTGAAAGAATGGATGAATATGTACTGTGGACTGACGAACAGTACTGTCAGCATATCGGCAAATGCGAGGTTCAGTAAGAGATAGTTCATAGTAGATCTCATGTCACGGTAATAGGCAATAATAAGACACACCAGGAAGTTTCCTATCACACCAATACTGATCAGGATACTGAATAGAACAGTTAGAACAATATCTGAAGCAGCCATGTTGAACAGTCTGAAAACAAAAAGTATCAAAATTTCACTTAAAAAAAAGCAATGGAAATAGAATGTGTTTTATGAAGTGAGGCTTGATGCGATGATACCGTAATGGTTCTTACGTAGTCCTCGGTGCCTGGCAAGCAAGAGGCAGGTACTAAATATACTGACGATAGGACACTAGTGCACACCGCTTAGTCTTTACAACCATGCCATATATTTCATGCAAAATTGTCAGTGAATATGATTACGGTTATTTTTACAGACACGACAGAACTAATTTCCTTGTTTGTTTTGTTTATATGCGGACTCCCCACAAGAAAAAAAGGAAATGTCTTCTTGTGTCGTATTATTGCTCATTCACTGTTGGATAGTTTCAACTCCACATGCACCGAGAACTCAGAGCTATTTGAACAAAAAACAATGTTTCTCCATGTTTTATCATCATCACGAGACAGAGTTGGATTCTTGATAAGTTGATTTCTTTTGAACACTTTTGTTCTCTAGCCGTACTTGCGATCACCACGAGAGATTAGGAAAGAGCGCCTCATCTATATGCAAACAAAACCTCTTAAAGTTTGTTTTGATCAACACATATTACTAGTTGATGAAACAATGACGAGTCGAGAAACATCGACAAAATTGATTGAGAAAAATTCTTGTTAAAAAGTTGGCTAAAAAACGGAATGTATTTTCCTCGTCCATACCATGATCGAAAACCATCGTCAGGGGGCTGATAGAATACGATTCACTCAGTATTATAAATATCAAGATCAGTCAGTTAACTCGTTCGTTTTATTATTTCTTACAAAATTAAAAAGAACCTACATAACACCTGTCAATGAATACCAACATACACATGCAAATAATAGCGTACTTCAATGATTACTTCTACTGAGTTAGTTCGGCTCACTGGTCCCGTCTCACGCCTCTTCTTGATCCTTTTTCGTTCAATATTCTACTAGTAACGGCAAATCAATAAACATGGACCGTCTCAAAGAATTGAGAAAGGTTCTTCTTTTTTTTCATTTCTATTTTATTCCAGGAAAATTGATCAGTTTTCTGGACATTTGCCAGCAAGGAAACTAATTATCAGTACTAACTTTAGTACTTTTGTGACATTTTCCCTCATCTACTGGAAAATGCATGGTAAAGACACAAATCTATCAAAGTACATGTTTTACTCAAAATATAGTGATGATTTATAATCATTTTTTTATCGGTCGACTAGCGCGGGGGTTTAACCAGCACGAGGCGGATAAAAGTGATATATATATCACAACTAAAACTACTAACATTTACCCCCGGCAAGACGAAAACCAAGTCAACAAAGAGTGCGGTATGGTATTTAAAGAGACCCATTCGACATTAACATCGATATATAATAGTGCCACTGGTAAATAGTTGGTCAACTATTAAGACTCATGAAGGCAGTCGTTATTGTGAGACCTTCGACGTTATGTCCAAAACCAGATTTCTTTTTATCGCTCGTCAAAAAGTAAAGGGAAGCAATTATTTATAATAAAAGAAACAAATGTATATTCATACCTGATGCTCAGTGGCGGGCAAGAGACGCCGTTATGTCAGTTTATCAACCGTTTATACGAAAACTTCATTCAGTACATAGAAGTAGCCATCATCGCTTGAGCTAGCCAAGTGTTTTTGTCTCGATTCGTAGTATGCAAAGAACTGCTCTGTAGGATTCTTTAAATGTAAAATCTAAAGTTTTGACGATAAATTCATCATTTTTCTATATCAAAGGTGAAACAAGAATCAACAACAATTAGCTAGTACTAAATCGAATTCTCTTTGTAGCTGTAATTCGACTAAGGAAAAGCTGAGAAACACGATATTGATATTAAAATTGGATAAATACCGAGGTCTTTTGTGTTAACAACAGTTTCAAGAATATTTTAAAATTTTGTTTAAAAAAAAAATTAGATGAATGATAAAAAAGGCAGTGTTTGTAAATAATTTTTGTTGTCCAATCGGAATACCTCACTATCGAGGTCCTTTGCGCGCCCGGTTAGTCGAGAAATTCTTTACTCAGTAAATGTGAATTCGATCAACGTACCAAGTCCGTTCTCTATTCTCGGTTTTCACGTGACGTCACGAGCGGATTAAAACTTAGTGTCCGCCATATTGGTG